AAGGGCAGAATTATGATGTTCTCAAGTATTGGGAATCTCAAATTAATGTGTACCCCATATTAGCTATTATGGCTAGGGATGTTTTGGCCATTCCTATTACATCGGTAGCCTCTGAGTCTTCTTTTAGCATGGGTGGTCGTATTTTAAACAAGTATAGGAGTGCACTTTTGCCTAAGAATGTTGAGGCGTTGGTTACCACACAAAATTGGTTACGTGGTTATGATTGTGATATTGAAGAAGACGTCCTTGAAATTGGTAAAGAGGTGATAGATGAAAGTTTTGCATCTAATTAGAAAGGTATGGATGTTGCTATTTTACTGATGCTTAATTTATATTGTGTTGCTTAATTCAAGCTTTCTTGTTTTTTTTTTTTTTTGTGAGAAAAGTGTAGCTTCATTTCTTACACTAATGATAAGTATAGGGTGCTGCTACTGCTGACTGCTTCTTCTCCTTACTGTTGTTCTGCTGACTTGCTGTGCTGCTGACTTGCTGTTCTGCTGTTGTTCTTCCATTCTGCTGCTGCTCTTCTTCCATTTTGATGTTCTGCTGCTCTTCTTCCATCGCTGCAGTTCTGCCATTCTGCTGCTGCAGTCTGCAGTGCTGCTGATCTGCCATTCTGCTGTAGACTGTGGTGCTGGTGTTAATCTTGTTATGCTAAAAACTTGTACAATTCTGTTGTTAAAACTTGTTTGTATGGATTGGTTGGTTTGATTTTGTTACTTTGTTGTTAAAAATTGTTTAATTATGTGTATGGATTGGATTAGTTTGTTTTGGTTTTGAAAAGTTGAAACTTGTTGAATTAGAAGTTTTATAACTTGTTAATGCTATTAATCCTATTATGCTACTGGAATACTGCTATGTTGATGAATAAGGCCCAAAAGGCCAAAAAATTGTAGGTTATTGCCCAAAAAACCAAAATTGCAGATTATTCCCCAAAAAACCAAATTAAAGTCAATACTCACGGATTAGCTAACGAAGTGCTATTTCTAAGGGAATTTAGTATTAACTAAGTTACTAAGATATATACAATTAATATGATAAGTATATGGTCTCAAGAAAAACTGATAAGTATGGAATATATGCTAAATATATATTCTAAGATTTCTAATACTTAATCCAAATAATTACATAAAAAAGTGCACCAAAAAAAATATTATTATTACATACAAAAAAAGCTTGTAAACGGTTCGATTTATAAGCGGTTTGGTTCATAAACGGTTCGGTTTATAAGCAGTTCGGTTCATAAACGGTTCGGTTTATAAGTAGTTCGGTTTACAATCAGTTCGGTTTTTAAATGGTTCGGTGCAAACGAGTAGCAGTTTGCTAACAGTTCGGTGTAAGCGGTTTTTATGCCAGTTTAAATGGTTTCGGGTTAGAAACGGTTCGGTTCATTTTCGGTTCGGTTTCCTTTTCAGTTCGGTTTAGATTTGGTTCGGTTCTTAATCGGTTTAACGTTTTCTCGGATCGGTTCGGTGTCGGTTTTACTAACATGCGGTTCGGGTTGGTTTTCGGTTTCAAAAAAATCGGTTTTTAATCGGTTCGGTTCTCATTCGGATCGGTTGAAACAGTTCGGTTTCACCGGTTCGGTTCGGTTTTTGACAGTGCTAAATAGAGGTCATACATTATGCATGACCTCAACAAATAGTGTAATACTTTGTTAATAATCATCATCATTTAATTTCAATGTAGTTAGGCCAAAATAGGTTATTTTCATTTTTTTTAATTAGTTTGAAAAAATAGTTTCAATGGGCTTAAAAGAAAAGGAATGAATTGACAATTAAAAGAAAAGGAATAAATTGGCAATACTCTCTCCATTTTTTTATATTCTATTTTTTGAAGACAAAGAGTAGCCGATATTATTAAAGCATAATTACTTTGTCGGTATTTTTACTTGTATTTGACTATTAAACCAATTTGATTTCTTATTTTACTATAACTTTTTTGAATATATATTACGGATCAGAGTAAATTTAAACTAGATATAATCAAATTAAAGGTCACGTACTCTTTAAATAAAAAATGTGGCCCGTGTTGACTGTTGTATTGATCAACTGAGCCAGGCTTAAAACTTAAATACAATACTAAAATCACATATTGTTCTTCTCAAACACCAAAATTAAGCGGGACTAATTCAATCTTTTTTAGGATAAGCTTATAAGTCAATTTTTTGTCTTTTAAAAAAAATGTCTAAAACAACACACTTTATATTTATCGCTTAGAATTATCCAACTCTGCGTTAAATGTATAAAATAATATTGGTAAATGAAAAGCAACGTACACACTCTGTATTTATGACTTAAAATTATCCAATTTTGGGTTAAATATACGTATTTACATAAAAAATTTCGATTTTGGAAAATGAAAACAGAGTCGAGCATAAGTACATAGCCCAAATTGTAATTTGCAGGGGAGGTACAACACCGTAACTAACTAACTAACAAACTAACTGATAACCGTCACTCAAAATATCTACTTTGTGAGTATAAATTAAGAATAGTCAACTGTTAACGATAGGATTAAAACTGACAAATTATAACAAACCAAGAATCCATTTTACTAATCACTCCAATTTCACACAACTAACTAATAAAACCTATAATTTTCTGTTGCTTATAACTTCTTTTCATTTCTTTAATTCCAACATAATAACATTCAAGATTTCCAAGAAAAGTACACCCTCGATTCTCCGTTGAACATCATAATGTCTAATGATCCTGGAAAACCGCCGAGGACGCCGACGATTGATCCAAAAGGGCGTAAGAGAAAAAGTAATACTCGGAAAGATGATGATGGTGGTGAAGAAAGGCCGCCAAAGCAAAGGGGTATTATTTTCCGACCACATACTCAACAAGAGTTTATGGGCAGGGTTCAATAGTATACGTACAGTGCAGCCGGCGCAATGGCAATGGCAATCACAGCCACAGCCACAGCCACAGCCGCTACCACAACCACGGCCCCCGCCGATGCCGCCACTACCATCAATACCTCTACGCAACCGAATAGAAGAAGTTGAACAAATGTTGAAGGAACATGGACTTGATCATGGAGAACTTGGCTACCCGTTGTTTAGGCGACCACAAGACTCCACCTCGGTTCGACAACATGGCTCGGTGTCTGTTAGTCAAGGCTTGGCAAGCAATAATGAGACTAATGATGTGTCATTATATGAATGGTTAGATGACTGGTTGGCCAAAGGCTCAGAGTTGTTTGAATCCCTTCCGCCGTTGCCTGGGAATCAAGACATTGGATATAATGCCCCGCCTTCAGTTGAACAAGGCTTGCTTGGAAATCAAGACTCATCCGCGTTTACTGGACATAATAACCCGCCTTCGCTTGGACATAATAATCAATTCATCGTCAGAATTATAATTTGCTCATTTGGGCATCTTAATTTTTCTTATGTAGTATTCCATTTATATGTTAGTTGTTACTATCGAAATACTGTAAAATAGACTAACTATGCAAAATCAATCACTAAATTTCAGTTTATTAAGGCATTGATAGTACGGTGGAAATGAGCTTTGTATCAAATATATATGCTATTAAATCATTTGATTCAATATTTTGCATTCTTGTATGCTCTCTATATTTTATTATACTGATCAATATAAAACTGTAACTATGAAAATCAGTGTTGAATGAGTTCGTTAATTATGGTATTAACAATATGGTGGAGTTGAGTTTTGTATTAAATATGATCCAAATTCTACTGACCAAGAATCCATCATTCTACTGACCACTACTATTGAAAGTCTAACTGGCTAATACAAGAGGGGGGGTGAATTGTATTTGAGGTGAAATCTAAAAACTTTTTGCGGAATTTAACTAAATGAAATAATGACGAGAGAAGATATAGGCTTTTCTAAATTTCCACTATGTAATCAAACTCTGTACAAGTGAAGATTCAAACCCGTTAACAAGTTCCCCAAATTAGGAACTTGTTCCCAACTCTCACAGAAGACTTCAGCAACGAAGCTTCCTTAACCTCACCTTACAAACTCACAATCCCAACCCCAAAGTACTTGTATACAATCTGTGATTACAAATACCTATTGCACTCAAGAATATATGAAGGAAAATAACTCTCTTTATGTTATTAGATGGCTACTGGAATTTTTATGCTTAAGAGTTATGTTTTTCTGAGATAGTTTGCATGAGTATTTATAGAGAAGGCTTAGTCATTAACCTCCACCATAATCACGTCCACATGTCAACAACCCACTAACAACTTGTGGAGTTATCTTGACAGATTGTGATCATGAAGAGGTTTCCTAGCCTTATCTAATTAAACCACTATCCTAACAACTTGATAACCATTAGCCGTATAAAAGATTTTCTCACAGAAAAACCACTTGCTAACTTTATCAAATATTTATTTAAAAGATTATCAAAAGTTTGTTTAAAAAGATTTTATTTGAAAAGATAAATTTATTATTTATTAAAACAACTAGATAATTATCTTCGATAATTATCTTTATTAAAACTTTTACAAATTATCTTTTCTTTAAGAAATTATCTTTTAAAACTAACTTTTATTCCAGTAGTCTTTAACATAAGTCATTGAGTTCCTTTCCGACTTTATATTATTGAGTGCTCACAATTAAAACTAGAACGTGAGATTTGCACGAGGCTTTTTAAAGAATGCTACTCCGCATCCAAGTTCCTACTCCGGAACGAACTTTGCTTGAATCCTTTATTCACCAAAGACTCAAAACATTCATTAGTCGAGTTTGTCAATTTGTCCATCAAAACCAAAAGGCTCAACAAATTCCCCCTTTTTGATGATGACAAACATTGACAAACTTAGGTAAATAAAATCATCCAGGCATGCAACAAAAATTTAGAGTAAGGCATGAAAACAAAAAAAACAATTAAAGAACTTAGAAAAATATTAAAAAGTATTTTTTTTTTTTTTTTTTTTTTTTTTTTTAAAAAAAAAAAACTGAGCAAAAGAAAAATTAACAAAGACTTTAAAAACTGAACTTGGCAAAAGTTTGTACCTTCGATGTGTGAGTTCCTTGGTAAACACTTTAGCCGCCATGAAGTTTGTCTTTTCCCCCTTTTGGCATTATCAAAAGATTGAAAAAAAAACATTTTGCTATACTCCCACTAGACTACGTAGGGAATAGTGAGCTCAAATAATGCAAGGCAAAAATAAGTTAGGTACTAAATCATCAGCAACCACACACAATCATATGAAAAATACGAGCCAAGTTCCGATTTAGGAAATAGAAGAGGAACATAGAGAATGTAGCAAAGGATAAAGGCGTACAAACCAAAGTTCAGAGAGATTAAACAAGACCAAAATAAAATTGTTCAACATATGAAATTAGAATAAGTGCAATCAAGGATTTAAGAGGCTGCATTGGTAGGATCAAGGGTTGGATTTGTGGGATCAATAGAGTCTTCCTCGACTTCCTCAAAGGCTACTTTGTTGATAGTTTCCAAGATCTCCTTGTTGCCTTCACTAAACTTGCCTTCAGCCTGTGCAAGCTTTGCCTCCACGCCTGCAAATCCGGTTGCTTGAGATTCTGCCAGAGCCTGCACCTGGCCTTTAAGAGAAAGCAATTCCGAGGCCATTTCCTCCAGTTTCTTGCTCACCAGAGTAGTCAACTTCTCCATATCTGCTTGAACCTGTTGAAAATCATAAACAGACACACGAGTTCCAGAGAAAGCAGCAAAGCCAGTAGGCTGAAATGGAGGAGGAGAAGGTGAATGAGAAGGCTGCCTAGTAGGTGAGACAGGAATAGAAGAGGGTTCAGTGGAAGAGGGAACTTGGGTAGGTTTGAAGGTGGAATCAGATTTGTCTGAGGAGCTGATGGTTTCTACAGTCACAGGGTGTGTAGTAGAAAGGGCAGGCTTGACCACATTCCTCTTACTCCTTCTAAGGCCCCCTGTAAACACAGGAATGACAGGTGGTCCAGCTGTGCTCTCAGAGTCTGTGGTATGTTCCCTCTCACTTTGATCAGTTCCCTGCCCCTCATGTAAGTCAGATTGTCGAGCTTCCCCCTCAGAAACTTCCATATGTTCCCCCTCAGAATCTTCCTGTTTTTCTCCTTGCACATCTCCCTCAAGTATTTTTTCTTTGTTTTTCTCTCCGTTAGAACTTTTTTCTTCTTCCTTATCTCCCTCAGAATCACTGGAGGTGGTAGCACCCTCACTAGCCTCCTCACTACCCTGGTCACTGCTTGCATCACATTCTTCCTTAGCTTCTTTCCCTTTCCCTTTCTTTTTCTCCCCTCCTTTCCGAGGCACAAAACATACTTTGCCATTTGTAAGCCTAAGACTCAGTCTAAGTAATGATTGTTCAGAGAGGATATTATCGGGTTTGAGATATGTTGGGGATTCACATTCAACATCATACCAAAAGATTTGAACAACACAGTAAGGAAAGAGCCATATGGAATTGTGGTCTTTTGAGCATAAAAATTCAAGTGTTCAATCATTAGAGCAGGGAAATTAATCTGTATTTTGCATGCAAGACAGAATATGAGGGAGGCATCCAAGAGTGATACGGTACTCCGTTTTTGTAAACGGGGTACTATACCCTTCCAGGTGAAGGTAAACAGTAGCTTATGAAGGGGTGTTAGGGCATGATGGTGAGTAGTTTTCACTTTCGGATTTCCTCCAATAAATTGAAGGATTTTGCATTCATCATTATGGCCAATATTTACAGATTGTTTGTGCTTTAAATAAGAACAATAGCCTTTAACAGGAACTTGAAATAGATTTCCAAGATAATTGGCATCAAACGAAATTGGAATATCATTAACTACGGCCGAGCACACACCATTATCACATTGAAAGGTATTTTTGAACTCATAAATAAATTTAGGATAAACAGGGTAATGAGAACAATTCTGGAACAAGTGAGTCCATTTTTGATAATCAATTAAAGAAGTAAATTCAGTGAACTTACTCGCCACACACCAATCATAGTTGATGTGATATCCGAGAGTGTAATTCCATGATGGGAATTTGGTGGTTGCGCGCCGTTTCCTGTCGCCGCCCTTCACAGCCTTAGCCTTCCTCTTTGGCTGAGCAGATGGATGCACCACCGCAATTGGCACCGGTTGTGGAGACCCCGTGTTTGAGGAGGGTTTGAATGGTGGTGATCGGGTTTTTGGGGTGGTGTTTCGGTTGGTTTTCATGGTGTTGAAGGTAAAATGAAGGGAAGGAGAAGATGAATAGTGTGAATAGGAAGGAGAGAGAGTGAGGCCGGTTATGGGAGTGTATGGGGAATTTAATTGATTTGATAGGTGAAGGTGGAGTGAAAAGAAGAAAAAGAGTTTAATGGGGAGGAGTGAGAAAGAAAAGTGACGGTTTAAACTGTGAGGTAGTGGGGTAGTTTTAGAGGTAGTAGGATTTAATTTGGTGAAATAATTGCACTCATCTAATTCAATGTTGATAAAATAAAATCGTAAGTTAAGAAGTTGATATACATGCTTCTTATCTTACGTAGCAAATAAGATCTTTTTGTAATTGAGGAATAGAAAAATTCATCATGAAAAAATAAGGAAGGAAAAAGATAAGAATAAAAAAAAATAAGATAGGAATAAAAGATAAGAAAGAAAATAACAAGAAGAAAAAAAAAAAAAACAGATAAATAAAAAATGAAAAGGATAAATAAGAGCAAATTGATTGTAAATTATGATGATAATTTACGTGATCATGATACAGAGAGTAAAGAATGATGAAAAGGGAACTTAAAAAAAACATGGCTCAATATTTTTAACATATTAAAAGTATGTATACGTGACTTTTCAATACTTCACAAATCTTTCCCCTGGGTAATTTCAGCTGTGTTATGCACACAAGATTGAGCATAGCATCGTTAGTTACATCCGATTTTACCTTAGGGGTTCCAAACAAAAGTCACTTGAGCCGTAGCATCCCCAATTCCACACGCATCTTTTCAAACTTGTCTCTGCTTAAAGGCTTAGTTAATATATCAGCAATTTGTCATTCAGTAGAAATAAAATCTAGCCTAATTAAGCCCTTTTTCAAGAAAGTCATAAACATATCAAAAGTTTCATCTTTACTATGTAAGAATATGACCCATGTAAATCTAGAATAATCATCTACAAGAACTAAGACATATATTTTTTCCACTTCTACTTTGAATTCTAACGGGCCACACAATCCATATGAATGAGTTCCAATGGTTTTGTGGTGCTTACCATTTTCTTTGATTTAAATGATGATCGAACATGCTTTCCTTTGATGCAAGCTTCACAAATTTTGTCATTTAGGAATTTGATAGAAGGTAATCCGATTACCAAGTCCTTTGACCTTAATTTGTCAAGCAATGAAAGACTAACATGTCCAAAACGTCTATGCCATAGAAGTGGATCATCCTCAATAACACTTAAACAGGATAGATTGTATTTTGGAACTTTGTTAAGATCCACGGTATACGTGTTCCCTTTACGAGTTCCTTCCAAAACGATTTTTCCAGTGTTATTGTTGATGATTTTGCAATTTTCAGAAGAAAAGCTTACAGAGTTTCCTTTATCACAAAGCTGAGATATACTGAGTAGATTATGCTTCAAACCCTCGACTAAAAATACATTGTCAATTGCATGGGAACTTGACCTTCCTACTTTGCCAACAGCAACAATGTTGCCTTTCTTATTGTCTCCAAAGGTCACTGTTCCCCCTGTATAGGCCGTCAGTGAGAGAAATCTGGATTCATCTCCTGTCATGTGCTTAGAGCAACCGCTATCGAGGTACCACTGGTTGTTCCCCCTCACTGCGACCTGCAAAAGAAATTAAGGGTTAGTAGCAGGAACCCTTTCATTCATGGGTTCCTGTGTTGACACATTTAAATCAGATTTCTTCTGCCAAACATAGTTCACATTCTTATTGTACAGATTTGCTTTCTTAGTACATTCTTCACTGCGATGTTCCTTTTTACCACAAAAAGAACAAACGGTCTCACTAGGTAAGTTCACATATTTCTTTTTCTTTCCAGTGGACTTCTTCTTATGAACATAGCCTAGACCTTCTGTTCTTTTTGTCTGAGCTTCCTTTACCCACTTTGGAACACCCGTGCTTGCTGTATTTTTACTTTTCTTGCAATTTCTAGGTCCTTTTCTAGTTTCTCATCATTGGTTTCCTTTATCTCTTTCTTAACATGCTCTAGTTCATTATTAAACATGATTAAAGGAACTTCAGTAGACCTGCAAGAATCAATGTTAGTACACAACATTTTATATTGAGTCAATTCAATATTCAGCATGATATTCTCACTCTTGACTCTTTCAAGGGATTCTTTTAGCATAATATTTTTATCTAACAATTCAAAGAATCTGCCTTGAACATCATTTCTTAAGCTATTCAGATACTTAACATGATCTCTACAAATTCCAGTTGCCTTTTCGGCTTGCCTTAGTTTTGCACATAATTCTTTATATTCATCTAAGGTTTCTAACAATAAAGAGATTAATTTATCCTTTGAGAGAGATTTCAAATAACTAGGTTGAATGACTACCTCATCATCATGCTTTGCCATTAGACAGAGATTGGCTACTTCATCGTCTGTGTGTTCCTGTTCCTCTTCTTCGGAACTCGATTCTCCCCACGTGGAAATCATTGCTTTCCTGAAATTTGTTTTAGAAAAGTTAGGCTTGGAATTTCTGCTTTGATCAGTTTTCTTTTCCCTTGCCTTTCTCAGATTCCCATAATGGACACTCTTTGATGAAGTGGTTGGTGCTTCCACATTTGTGACAAGAAGACTTGGCTTTGGGTTCCTGATTTCTTTTACTGTATCCTTTCTTCTTGTCTAAAAACTTGTTGTTACGGTAGAATTTTTTCAGCCTTCTCACCAACATTGCAGCTTCTTCTTCATCGATGTCAGACTTCTCTTCGGATTCTTCATTAGCTCTTAATGCTAGCCCTTGACTTTTGACAGTCTCCTGAGTCCGATTGTTCGACTGGATCTCGTGAGTAATGAGGGAACCCGCAAGCTGTTCCAGATTGAACTTGGTGAAGTCTTTTGATTCTTGCACCGCTGCGACCTTTGCTCTCCATCTGTCATTGTCTGGAAGACTTCTTAAGACTTTTCTGACCTGCTCATCTATAGGAATTATCTTGCCAAGACACGTTAGTTCGTTAGTAATACTTTTAAATCGAGTAAACATGTCTTTAATGGATTCTTTGTTTCCCATTTCAAAGCGCTCATACTGAGACAAAAGAATGTCTATTTTGGAACGTTTAACATCTGACGTTCCTTCATGTGTAACTTCCAGAAGATCCCAAATTTCCTTTGCGGACTTGCACCCTTTGACGCGAGTATGTTTCATCGGGTCCAAGTCCCCAAATTAAAAATTTTTTGGCAGTAGCATTCATTTCAAGTTTTTCAAAATCAGTTTTTTTCATACTCATCCATAGGTTTAGGGATTACCTCATTATTAGCATTCGTTTTCGTAATTTCGTAATCTCCTACTTGTATAATCCGCCATACCTGATAATTCTCTGCTTGGATAAAGATTTTCCATCTTATCCTTCCAATAAGGATAAAATTTGCCGTTGAAGTATGGAGGCCTTTGAATGGATGTACTCCCGAATTCCTTTTCCTCTGTGTAAGCCATTTTCCAGGAACTTACTCAACAGGGTTGCCTGCGTGTTCTGAGTTCCGGCTCTGATACCAACTGAAAGTCTAACTGGCTAATACAAGAGGGGGGGTGAATTGTATTTGAGGTGAAATCTAAAAACTTTTTGCGGAATTTAACTAAATGAAATAATGACGAGAGAAGATATAGGCTTTTCTAAATTTCCACTATGTAATCAAACTCTGTACAAGTGAAGATTCAAACCCGTTAACAAGTTCCCCAAATTAGAACTTGTTCCCAACTCTCACAGAAGACTTCAGCAACGAAGCTTCCTTAACCTCACCTTACAAACTCACAATCCCAACCCCAAAGTACTTGTATACAATCTGTGATTACAAATACCTATTGCACTCAAGAATATATGAAGGAAAATAACTCTCTTTATGTTATTAGATGGCTACTGGAATTTTTATGCTTAAGAGTTATGTTTTTCTGAGATAGTTTGCATGAGTATTTATAGAGAAGGCTTAGTCATTAACCTCCACCATAATCACGTCCACATGTCAACAACCCACTAACAACTTGTGGAGTTATCTTGACAGATTGTGATCATGAAGAGGTTTCCTAGCCTTATCTAATTAAACCACTATCCTAACAACTTGATAACCATTAGCCGTATAAAAGATTTTCTCACAGAAAAACCACTTGCTAACTTTATCAAATATTTATTTAAAAGATTATCAAAAGTTTGTTTAAAAAAGATTTTATTTGAAAAGATAAATTTATATATTTATTAAAACAACTAAGATAATTATCTTCGATAATTATCTTTATTAAAACTTTTACAAATTATCTTTTCTTTAAGAAATTATCTTTTAAAAACTAAACTTTTATTCCAGTAGTCTTTAACATAAGTCATTGAGTTCCTTTCCGACTTTATATTATTGAGTGCTCACAATTAAAACTAGAACGTGAGATTTTGCACGAGGCTTTTTAAAGAATGCTACTCCGCATCCAAGTTCCTACTCCCGGAACGAACTTTGCTTGAATCCTTTATTCACCAAAGACTCAAAACATTCATTAGTCGAGTTTGTCAATTTGTCCATCAAAACCAAAAGGCTCAACAAACTATATATACTACTCTATTCTTCGGTTATACAACAACTAACCAAACCAAATTAAAGCCCTTAATTTTGTGCATTCTTTTCTTACAACTTAAAACTCAAGCTTTAATTTTCAATCTTTCTCCTACTAAATCAAGATTATTTTTCCAAGAACGAACCCTTGAACATCATAACAATGTAAAAACGCGAACGATTATTTTTCCAAGAACGAACCCTTGCTCAAGAACGGCTTGTTTTGTAAAATGTACACTTGTAAAGTTTTTAATACAATACTCACTCCATTAATTTTTTTTTTCGAGATAAAAAATAGCCGATATTAAAAGTAAAATTAATTTGGTGGTATTATTACTTGTATTTGACTATTAAACCATTTTGATTTCATATTTTATTGTAACTTTATTAATATTACGATTTGGAATAAATTTAAACTAGATGTAATCAAAGGTCAATCCAAAAATGTGCAGTGCCCCATGT